TTTACTTTGTTGTAAAAAGTAGTGTTAATCACACACTCTTACTCTTTTCTTAACACTCTTAATTTTTATTTTATTGATTATATTTATTTTTATTTTATTGATTACATTTATTTTTCTCTGCAACCTCTTCCTATGTGAAAGAGCAGCTGAAGATTTTCTGTCAATTGATATTCTTTTATTATTGTGTGAATTCTGAAAAAAAGGAAACTAAGTATGTAATGACATAACCAACAATACAGAATAACAAACGGAATATATTTTTTTCCAGTAGTAAAGTACATACAAGCCCTTAGGTAATTAGTTCCTTTTAAGTGCAAGAGGGACAGTAATTACAAAACCATAATTTTTGCCGAACCGATGAAAAAGTATTTAATTTTTTTAATTAAACTTCCCATATTTTATAAAAGTAAGTTATTAAATTTTGTACAAATTACCATTTTTTTCCCTTGTTTGCAATTTCTTAGAAGAAAATGAGGTAATTACATTCAATAAAATCACCCTTAGATTTTTTAAGATGAAATTAAGCTTATTGACACTATAAGGAAGGGTACGGCAATTAAACTCAGCTGTTCTGTAAAAAAGAATGCCTTTTGCAAAGAGGAAGTTATATTTTATTCAACTAGAGCCATCTATAGTGTTTTTTTGGCACTTTTTGTACTTGAGACAGTAATTACAGAGATGCCAACTTCTCCGGACACTCCAAAATAATTTTAAAAAACGGTAAATAACTACAAAGTAAATTTTGCAATTGTTTGACTATTTTTGCTTGCTTTCTAAAAGGTATAGCATGAAATAAGTACTATAAAGTGGTGAATAATATAAGCCNCCATCTATAGTGTTTTTTTGGCACTTTTTGTACTTGAGACAGTAATTACAGAGATGCCAACTTCTCCGGACACTCCAAAATAATTTTAAAAAAACGGTAAATAACTACAAAGTAAATTTAGCAATTGTTTGACTATTTTTGCTTTCTAAAAGGTATAGCATGAAATAAGTACTATAAAGTGGTGAATAATACAAGCGTACGAATTATTTAGAAATAGTGGTGGATAAAAATCTGCTAAATTGAATTTATTAAACGAAGAATGACAATTGATAAACTACTACTTTAAAATATATATTTACTGTCCAGAGCAAGGTAGCATCTCTGTAATTACACAAAAGTTGGGGATGTATACAAAATAATGTGTAGAGCAAAATACACAGATAATTTTAAGAATATTGATTATATATGTTTAAGTAGACAGTCATACTATATCAGAATGTGTATGCATTTATTTTTGTAACACTCTCATAATATTGTACATTTTTTCAAAAGCTCAGAAATGTGTATTGAAGACAAGAGACAGTTGTGACATTTTACCTTATGTTTTATTTTTAAAAAATACAATTTAAATGCCAAAATGTGTCTGATGCATTTTTTGTTCGTAGCTCTTGTGAGCATTTTGAACAAGGAGAAAAAAAATAGAGGAATATTGCTTAAGGACGCTAAAAGAACGAAATGAAAAATAACCCAATGCTATTTTATATCATTTTTACTCTCACAAAATTTTTAATTTAAATAAAAAAATTTATTTAAAAAGTTGACACTTTATTTTTTTTAACCTTTTTCACGATAATTCTATTGTGATATCAATGTCATTTAAACTAATGTATGATAATTATTTTCTTAATGAAACATTTATATAATGCATAGTAAAAAAAATATGCCACCAAGTGTTGTTGTTAAACAATAAATGCTAATAAATTTTGCAGAAAAACATTGTCAATTAAGCTATTTATGCTCAATTAATAATAATTGTATAATAATTATGCTCAATTAATAATAATTGTACATTGTAATTTTTTATTTAAAATATACACTGGTTATCTCTCTCATAAATTAAGGAAAAAATCACAAAAGTGAGAATAACTCAATCAAAACCTTTCATGCAGAATTTAATAAAACTGACACACAGTAAAGTGCACACATTAATGTATAAAATAACATTAAAAGTGTTAATCAGACAATTAAGGTGTTATAGAAATTAGTATCTGTATGAAATGGACCAATGTGTAAGTTTGGTATAAGAAAAGTGATCTCAATATGAAGCATTATCATTTCTTACAGCAATGTTTGATGCTTTCAATTGTGCAGTACACCTGTTTCACAGGAAGTGAGAGCCATTGTTCTTGGAGCAGTGGCAAGGGACTGAAGAGAAGGATTCAGAACAGCTACGTCTTCCTAAATATGTTCGATAGAACTTATATCTCCGGAGATCAAGCTGGCCAAATCACTCTCTATCATACACGATAACCTGCTGAAGATAATCATACACGAAACGATATGTGGTGTGGCTCTTTCGTGATGTAGCACGATATCATCGCTTTTTACACCAGCATACATATAAGCATACAAACAAACATATAAACATCAAGGGTGTCATCTCTTTTGACGTGACCATTCACGGTTCCGCATGAGAAGAAATCGGCGTTTCTGTATTTAAATTAAGAGGTACCATCCCTAACAAGACACTGCCCGAACAAGACATAGATGCTTGATGGATGATAATAGGAACTCATCTGAAAGGAGATTAACCCTTCACTGATAGATCATACAGTGGGCATGGACAAGTTACTGCTATACCTGTCTCAAATATTCCTTCCTAAGCACGTGAATACGTAGGAACATTATTAACGTTGCATTAAGGCTGCTAAATGGGTCATTGGCGACGATCTAGGAAAATCCCTGAGGATGATCCGAAGACATGCCATCACAATTTTGATCCTCTGCTGAGGGGATGGCTCCTCTACTTTGGTAGCCGACGACTTGTGCGTAAAATCTANTCACGATAATTCTATTGTGATATCAATGTCATTTAAACTAATGTATGATAATTATTTTCTTAATGAAACATTTATATAATGCATAGTAAAAAAAAAGATGCCACCAAGTGTTGTTGTTAAACAATAAATGCTAATAAATTTTACAGAAAAACATTGTCCATTAAGCTATTTATGCTTAATTAATAATAATTGAATAATTTTTTTTTTTTAAATATACACTGGTTATCTCTCTCATAAATTAAGGAAAAAATCACAAAAGTGAGAATAACTCAATCAAAACCTTTCATGCAGAATTTAATAAAACTGACACACAGTAAAGTGCACACATTAATGTATAAAATAACATTAAAAGTGTTAATCAGACAATTAAGGTGTTATAGAAATTAGTATCTGTATGAAATGGACCAATGTGTAAGTTTGGTATAAGAAAAGTGATCTCAATATGAAGCATTATCATTTCTTACAGCAATGTTTGATGCTTTCAATTGTGCAGTACACCTGTTTCACAGGAAGTGAGAGCCATTGTTCTTGGAGCAGTGGCAAGGGACTGAAGAGAAGGATTCAGAACAGCTACGTCTTCCTAAATATGTTCGATAGAACTTATATCTCCGGAGATCAAGCTGGCCAAATCACTCTCTATCATACACGATAACCTGCTGAAGATAATCATACACGAAACGATATGTGGTGTGGCTCTTTCGTGATGTAGCACGATATCATCGCTTTTTACACCAGCATACATATAAGCATACAAACAAACATATAAACATCAAGGGTGTCATCTCTTTTGACGTGATCATTCACGGTTCCGCATGAGAAAAATCGGCGTCTCTGTACTTAAACTAAGAGGTACCATCCCTAACAAGACACTGCTTGAACAAGACATAGATGCTTGATGGATGATAATAGGAACTCATCTGAAAGGAGATTAGCCCTTCACTGATAGATCATACAGTGGGCATGGACAACTAACTGCTATACCTGTCTCAAATATTCCTTCCTAAGCACGTGAATACGTAGGAACTTTATTAACGTTGCATTAAGGCTGCTAAATGGGTCATTGGCGACGATCTAGGAAAATCCCTGAGGATGATCCGAAGACATGCCATCACAATTTTGATCCTCTGCTGAGGGGATGGCTCCTCTACTTTGGTAGCCGACGACTTGTGCGTAAAATCTAGTACTTTACGGGAGGACACAGTCTGAGAAGGGCCGATACCGTGCACCCTCGGTTACTACGCACGGAGGCTGATCAAAGTGAACATTCATTTACTTTCTGATCGCAACCTGCGATGCTTGACTTCAGTATTCCATTGGAACCCTTTTCGCGTTTTTACGATCAGTCTACTGCGGGCGGCATGACAAGACACATTTTCCAAAATAGAAATACCGCAATGGACTAATCGTAAAGATAAGGTTCCCAGTTGAACACCGAAGTTAAGCATCACTGGCTGTGGTCAGTAAGCTGGTAGGTTAGCACTTTGATCAGCCTGTATATGGACCGAGAGTGCTCGGTATCGGTCCTCGTTAAACTGTTCTACTGTGAAGTGCTTGACTTCGTGCACAGATCGTCGGGCTACCAAAGCAGGGGAGCCATCCCTTCTACAGTGGCACAGAATTGCGATGGCATGTCTTCGGATTATCCTCAGAGATGTTTCTCAAACCATCGCCAATAATCCAATGTGCAGCTCTAGTGCGAAGTATTTATGCTTACTACCTTATGTGTAGTATTATGATATACTTATATGCGGCATATGCTTATGTGCAGTTTAAGTTGTCGTTGTAGTTTTAGTTAATTTACGTCGCTCTAGGGTTGCACAATGGGCTATTGGTGAAGGTCTGGGAAACACCCCTGAGGATGATCAGAAGGCAAGCCATCGCAATTGTGATCCTCTGCAGAGGGGATGGCACCGCCGCTTCGGTAGTCCAACGACTTGCACGTGAAGTCGAGAACTTTACGGTAGAACAGTTTACCGGGGACCAATACCGCACACCCTCGGTCCCTACACAGATTGATCCAAGTGGTCACCCACCCGCACACTGACCACAGCCAGTGATGCTCGACTTCGGTGATTTGCTGAGAACCGTGTCTACGTGTCTTAACGATCAGTCCACTGAGGGACATGTGCAGGTTATACCGCGTCGCCAATAGCCCATTTGTGCAGCTCTAGTGCGACGTAAATTAACAACAACAGGTTATACCAAAATAGAAAGTTCACGTTTGGATGACATAGTCACCTACTAAACAGTTAATGCTTCTTACATGAAAGCTTAAAGCGTATCAAAATTTATTACCGTAAACTGTCAGCAATAATCATTCTTCCCAAAATATTGATTAAAAAATAAGAAGTGTGATTAATAAAAGTGTGATTAATGTGAAAAATAAGAAGATTTTTCGTTTTCTTCTCGTACTATTTCTAAAAATGTTTCAATAATTCTAATAAAACAGCAATGAAATGTAGAACTTTATAGAATTTCTTCAAAACTGCGTTCTCTTATGATATGAATATGGAAAACTCTTTTCTAAATAAAAATTTGTTGAGGGTATGACCGCTTTTTTAAATTTTTTTTTCTATATATATTTTGACAATAAATGTTAGGCATTTATTGTCAAAGTATAGGAAATCTTTGGAAATAAATGTTGATATATATTATGTTCATTTACACCTTTGAAAGTATTTCTCTGAATTTTTATAAAATATGACGTTTGTTTATTATGTTTTAAAATTATTCTACACCAATAATTTATGTATAATTCAAAAGTCCGAAATCTAATACTGCATTTCTTATGTAAAATGTGATATCCAAGTCAATTGCTATTATTTAATTATACTTGTTTATTTTACTGGGTTTTTGGGTTTACTGGGAAGGAGTTTAAGATCTCGAAATTAACCATAAAACAATCACCATTTCAACCGTGTTCACCATAAAATAAAATATCAGTGGTTTTCCTTACCTGCAATCAATGTAAATGGTTGGTATAATGTTTTGCGTTTACGTCAATGTTTTGTCTCAAAATATATTTATGAGTATTACACACTCTTTGTGTTGTAATTTTTCATTTATATTAGTTTCTTGCATGCCAATGCTCAGTTGTTGTGAAACTTTGGGCACTTTGTTGGTGCAAGAACTGATTTTGAAATCTTCCAACACCATATGCTTTTTACCATTCCTAATATTTTTTTATGAAAATGAAATAAATAAATAGTGAACATTAAGTAAAAGTTTGCTTTCCTTCTTATTTTAAAATTTTATAAGGAAAGCTACATTTATCAAGTTTATATTACAATTGTGAATTTTATGAAACAAGTTGACTGTAACAAATAAAATATTTAAATTTTTATGAACAGAGAGAACGTGTGATTGTAGCTTCATATAAATCAAAGGTTCTTTTCCATTTCGCCGGCGCAAATGAATTCGTTTATTATTATTTTTTTTAAATATCTGTCATTTCAAAAAATAAAGAAACAATTAAAAAAACAACATAAATAAAAAAAGAAACAATTTATTTACGCCTGATGATTTTGAATTGGCGTCTTTATCACCTGGATCAAAATGGAAGAGTTCCAATCAAAATGTTATCTTCCTGCTTTAATGTACCATTAATAGTTTAATGTTGTAATATATGAATAATGGTTTTCTCATATAATTTGAATTTAAATACATACCAAAAGTTTATACCAAAAATTTAGATACATACTGATATAAACATTAAAAGATAAAAAAAAATCTTAAATTGAAAATTAGATAAAATATTACAAGGAATATATAATGTTCACAATTATGATAAATTAGGCCATTTTGTGATAGAAACACAGATAAAACCTAATTAGCATTATGACAGTTCCATGTTACAAAGGACAACATAACAAAAAAAAATAAACATCGCTCCAGTTGCAAATTTCCTGTTTTTTTATTAACTATTTTAGATATAAAATGAAAAATTGTAGTTTTTAAGTATTTTATAATAAGAATAAAAAAAAAGAGTTTATTAAAATTTAAATATTAATTGTAATTATAGCTTCACCAGGTAAAGATTGTAACATGAGTCACAAGAACTTTTTCTTTATTTGTCACTTTCTATATCTCATTTCGTGTATATTTTCAGTGTTTTCTGTTAATTTGAAGCTGTTATAAAATAATTTTTTAAAAAATAAGCCCAAATATTATATTTATTAAAATAGGAAAATTTCAAAATAAAAATGCATGACATTTAGCTCTATGTATTTAATAAGGGAAATTTTTTTTGATATCCAAAATGATCAGAAAGTGGATATCACGGAAACCAAATTCGGCATTTCACTAAAGCACAAAAAAAAAACACATATTTTTTTCTGTGTCTCAAATGAAAGGATTATTATTGAAAAAATTGCGATTTGAGATGGAATTGTCACCACTAAAGCAGGTCATTAATTGATTATTCAAAAGCGGTTTTTGGAATTGTAATAATATTCGATTAAAAATGAAATTGACATTTTACAAACTATGTGGAAATCCCAAACAGTTGAAATAGTGATCAACAAAACTACATGGACAATAAAATCGTGACATATCGAGTTCTCGAAAAGTAATTCTACAAATGCGCTTTGTGAAATTTCCTGTTCCATTTAAATTTATAGCTTTCTACCTAGTTTTTAAAATTTTAGTGCAAATTCCGAATCGCACATTTCAGTTAGTAATCATTTTTCAATCTGCTAGATTAGCGATGATGTCACAGTGAAGCTATTGAAACAGACTCTCACTTGGTTTTTAAAATCTGAATGCTTTAATATGATATTATATTGTACACCAAACTTAGAATCGCATATTTCTCACTCAATTATTGAATATTTAATTGTAATCCCCATTAATTTATGATTGCAATTTTGTCAGTTATTGCTACTGATTTTCATAGTTTTTTAATGCTACATTATTTATACATGGCATGTATTTACTTGCACATTTGAAGAACTACTTTTTGATGTCCTCAATTTGTAATGATTTTATTGTCCAAGTAGTTTTGTCGATCGCATTTTCAACAGTTTGGTATTATTTCCACATAGTTTTTAAAATCTGCATATTCGGAAACATGCTTTTAAATAATCATTTAATGTAAATAATCTCTTGTAAATAATCATTTGTTTCAAATCGCAACTTTTTAAATATGAAATTTTGTGCAATCTGAAATTGAGTGTCTGATTCTTAGCGATAGTAATCCTTTTATGCAAGACAGGAGAAGAAATACGCAATTTTCTCCATACTGCAGTGACATGACAGATTTAGTTTCCGTAATAGAAAAATTTTTTTCTATTATCGTGGAAATGCGATTAAAATTGAACAAAAATCGGGTAAAAAGTTCTTTACATTTTAATTCTTAAATCAAATGATTAAAAATGTTTATCATCTTAATCATATTAAATATCTAAACATTTGAAATTATTGATTTTTATTTGTCTAATAATAAGTGATTTCTTTCCAGCCATTAGAAGATCAATTGCGATGTCGCATTTGTTCTGAGTTCTATAGTAATTGTGTTATGGCAGTTTGCAGTCACAATTGTAAGTTCATTTTTAAAGGTTTTGTTTAATTTCTTTTTTTTTATGGTTATGCTTATATGTATTTTTTTTAACAGTATGATATCAAAAATTTAGAAACTATTGAAAGTCGGGCAATTTTTTTTACTTGTGGTGAAAAAAAAAATTGCAAATCAATGATGAGATCAATAAGAGTCCATTTCAAATTTCAGTCCAGAAGCAATAGTTCAGTTATCAAAATAATATTGGATTAAAAACATTAATTTTCAGAATCTTGGAGATCTATAGCAGTTGCTGCCACAAAACAATAGATAAGACCCTATGAATTTATATTGAAATATTATTTTTTTTTAAATTGCGTCCGCCATCGTCTTCTCAGACATAAGGCGTTTTGCAGTCCAATACAACACTGAAGCAACTCCAGAAGGTGAGAGGGCACAATGTCATCACAGGAACGATTAGGGGCAATCAAATAGATGCTCCCTAGTCATAGGCGAAGTGTTACAGAGCACACAAAGAGGTGAATTGACTAGATTAATTTTAAATAGATGGACCTGCAAGTAGTCATGTCCAGTAATTGTGATTTTCCATCAGCTAAGTCCCTAAGAGCAGATATTGTTCTGTGCCTGAATTTGCTCTTAAGAAGCCGCCTTGCATTTCTAAGGGGAACTGGATGAGAAGATGGATGCAATGCTGAAGCCTCTCTAGCCAACATGTCAGCCCGTTCATTTCCATAAATGCCACAATGGCCAGGGATTCACTGGAAGACTACCTCTCTTCCCGAACAAAGAAGAGAATCAATGCGTTATTTGCACTTAAATTCAAGTTCAGAGGGGTATAAATTATATTCAGAAATAGTCTGAATAGCAGCCTGAGAATCGACAAAGATAACAATGTTTTGTTCAGATGGCTCACCGATAGCTGTAATAGCCATAAGGATTGCAAACATTTCTCCATCAAAATTATCTGCACAAGAGGTTCTCTAAGGCTGAAATATTTAGAGTAAGCACCGGCTCCAGCTCTACCAGTTGAAAAAGTGTCGGATCCATCAGTAAAAACCTGCAGCCATTGCTGGCAAGGGTATCTCCCGTGTATAGTGGCCAGAGCGATAGGATGCAACTCGGTCTGGTGAAACTTCGATTTCCGAACAGGCAGTACCAAGTCAAATCTGGCAGGGGCATATCTCAGAAGGCCCATAAAAACAGGCGGCCTATAGATGCAAAGTTTGGAGTTGAAAAACCTCAAAGATCTCTGCAAAGATTTATAATGAATGGAATCTTATAATAGAAACTATAACTTATTACTCAATTCAAAATTCATGTCTTATAATAATGTCATATTAAAAATATCAGAAAATCTGCTGGAATAGAAGATCTAAAAACCACAGATATTTATGATAAAATCAAGCATTTAAAAAAGTGTGTAAACTTGTCTTATGTTAGGTGTATATGTCGATCGCTGAAAAAGCTAATTATGAAAATTTCTATATACAGTCAGTACCGCCTATATGGTCACCCTCTTATAAGGTCACCCCGCTTATATGGTCAATTTTCTAAAGTCCCGTCTAACTTAATAGGAAACACGTGTTAAAGATCACCGCTTATATGGTCATCCTATTTTTCGAGTTACCGGTTATATGGTCAGTTTCCTTTTTTTTTTCTTTTGAAAAAAGATACATTTTAAGACATTTCTTTAGACAGGAAGACAAGAAAAATGACCAGAAGGTAAACACCTTCCTTCGACCCCCGGAGAGAACTAGAATTTCCCCCCTCTATTTCGTCACCCTACCCTCTTTTCTCTTTTGCATTCATTGATGACCTTACCCTCTCCTCATTTGACCACTNGTCAGTTATTGCTACTGATTTTCATAGTTTTTTAATGCTACATTATTTATACATGACATGTTTTTGCTTGCACATTTGAAGAACTACTTTTTGATGTCCTCAATTTTTAATGATTTTAGTGTCCAAGTAGTTTTGTCGATTGCATTTTCAACAGTTTGGTATTATTTCCACATAGTTTTTAAAATCTGCAAATTCAGAATCATGTTTTTAAATAATCACTTAAATAATCACTTGTTTCAAATTGCATTTTTTTAAAATATGAAATTTTGTGCACTCTGAAATTGAGTGTGTGATTCTTGGCGATAGTAATCCTTTTATGCAAGACAGGAGAAGAAATGCGCAATTTTCTCCATTCTGCAGTGACATGACAGATTTAGTTTCCGTTATATATAAAAAAATTCTATTATCGTGGAAATGCGATTAAAATTGAACAAAAATCTGGTAAAAAGTCCTTTAAATTTTAACTCTTAAATCAAATGATTTAAAATGCGTATCTTAATCATATTAAATATCTTAACATTTGAAATTATGGATTTCTATTTTTTTTATCTAATAATAAGTGATTTCTTTCCAGCCATTAGAAGATCAATTGCGATGTCGCATTTGTTCTGAGTTCTATAGTAATTGTGTTATGGCAGTTTGCAGTCACAATTGTAAGTTCATTTTTAAAGGTTTTGTTTAATTTCTCATTTTTTATGTTTATGCTTACATATATTTTTTTAAACTGTATAATATAAAAATTCTGGAAAACTTGAAAGTCGGGCAATTTTTTTAACTTGTGATGGTAAAAAAAGCAAATCAATGATGAGATCAATAAGAACTAATTTCAAATTTGAGCCTAGAAGCAAAAGTTCAGTTGTTGAAATAATATTGAATTAAAAAGATTAATTTTAAGAATCTTGGAAATCTTTAGCAGTTGCTGCCCAAAGAACAATTGATAAGACCATGTGAATTTATAATGAATAGAGTCTTATATTAAAAAGTATTACTTATTACTTAATTCAAAATTCATGTCTTATAATAATGTCATATTAAAAATATCAGAAAAATAACTGCTGGAAAGAAAGAAACCACAGAAATTTATGATGAAATCAAGCATTTAAAAAAGTATGCAAATTTGTCTTATGTTAGGTGTATAAATCAACGGCTAAAAAAACTAAATATGAAAATTTCTATTTAGTTATGTAATTTAAAAATTGCAGTTTTTTTTATCTTTTGGATGGAGTGAATATGATTTTTTGCTACACTCAAATGAGAAATAAGTTGAGTCTATAGCAGAGCATTCATTTGGCAACAATGTTAACCTTATGGGGTGATGCAGATGATATTTTGGAAATTTTAAATTTGTAGTTTTATGGTACGTTTTAAAGTTTTTATTGTGCTATACTTTTTTGAATATTCTATTAATAAATTGTCTTAATATATATTATTCTTAATTTACTTTAAATTGATTAAAAGTATTGTTTCTAAAAAGACCTTTATATGTAAGGAAAATATGATGAGGAAAGTCATAAAATTAATTGTTTGTAATACATATTCGATAAATTTTCCTGCCATTTTTTTAAAAAAATGCTTTTTTCCTCATAAGATTTTAGGATTTTTCTTTCTTTTTTTAAAGATGTTTACCTTACCATCATTTTGGAAATAATTATTAGTGTATTACTTCATCGTTTATTCTTCTTTTTAAGATTATTTCCAAAATTTTTTTTTTAGTTGGGTTTAACAATAAAAAAACGGCTCTTTGTAGCGATTCAGAAAACCGGAAAAATCAGTTATCCGGAATAGTGATGGTCCCGATTGTTCCGGATAATCAGTTCCCTACTGTATTTTAAAAATAGTTTTTGAAAAGTGTAAATTGAGGCAGAGTTATTCATATATATCTCATTGTTTTTAATGCATTAGCATTTCACGATCAATGAATGTCTGACTTTATTACCCGTGTACGAGTCGATCCCCTGTTTTTGTAAAATGTTGGGGGTTAGAAAAGTTGATTTTAACAAAGGGATATGCAATACAAAATTTCATGTTATAATAATAGGTATTCCATTATAAACATTGGGATTTTAAAAACCATGTTGAAATGCATTGTAATAACTTAATACACAGCAATAATTTGTAAATTCTTGAATCAAGTACATAAAAAAGTAAGATACACAATAGTGTAACTCAAAATCTATGTGTTGTAATATTGTATTTATATTTTCCAGTTTGTTCTGTTTGTATTAAGAAAAGATTAACTACTGAGGAAGATTGTCCCTGCTGTTTTGAAGTAAAGTTTTATTTATTTATTTTGTAAAATATTTTATTTTTTATATTTATTATGTGAGAATGTTATTTTTAAACTGCAGTTTTCTGATTATTTTTGTTAATATATCTTTTCTTTTTTAAGTTGTATGTTTTATGTATAGTTTAATTTATGTATAGTTTAATAATGTTTTAAACTTTAAAGACTTTTTAATAAATTTATAGAAAATCCTATAAGTCTACTAATAGCTGACCTGAATAAGCTAAGGACTTTTTCCTGTTAAACATAATTTCCCTCTTCTAAGATGTATACTTTTGAGTTCATCACATACAAAGAAATATAGTCACCTTTTGCAATGTTAAGTGTTAAAAAAATGAATCATCCGGAATAACTTTATATCCAATGATGGGATCTTCATGTACTAGGACTCAGTCTTTATGGTTCGAGGTAGGGAAGTTCAAAAATGCTTATTAAGTAGTGCAAATGATATTTTAAGTTACGAAATCAGGAATAAAAATGTACATTGTTTGTATAAACATACCTTTTTTCAACAGATTTGGATTTCTGACTTTCAAAATATAGGTTAATAAATTTATCCAATGGTTTGGTAAGGAGAGGGTACAATCCTTAGTTCCCTTGATGCCAATTTTTACTCTTTTGTGTATTAAAACCATATTTATTCATATATCAATATGTCTTTTTAAGCAAATCGAAAAATTTTTGCTTACAGTAAAAAAAAAACTTGCCTTAAAATAATTCCATACAAAAAATAATGAATGATAATTATTTATTATTTTTATAATTTTATTTTATAATAGTTAAAAAATTTTCGAATTATAAGTTATGCAAATTTTTACACCATTTTAGAGAATGTGATTTTATAAGGCAAAATACAAGATTTGAACGAAATCGTCTGAATATTTAATGAGAAATTGAATTTTAAATGTACAACTTATTTAAAATTCAAATTTTGAAGAACTATTCGACTGACTTCATTCTATTTTTATACTCTCTTTTGAAATTATATTCTTTAAAATGGTGTATAAATTTGCAAGCCTTATAATTCAATTTTTTTTTACTTATTAAATAATATAATAAATAATTATTTGCAAATTACATTTCGCATAGTATTATCTTTGAATAAACGAATTTCATAATTATATGCAGAAATTCTTTGATATCAAACTTCCAAGATATGGCAAAACACCCAAAAAGAAAAATTAACATTAAGGGATCTAAACTTTGGTTGGACTCCTGACCAAAATATTAAGACGATATTTCCCATACCAGAGGGGGGGGGGATGTTGGCGAACACGGTACAACTTTGAACTTTATGGGCTCTATAAACATCCTCAAATTATGCAGATAATCCGAAGCAACCGACTAAGATGGCTCGGACATATATGGAGAGGCTCTGAAGATAGCCCTGTAAAAATTGCCACCTTCAAGAACCCTCAGGGGTCCCGCTCTAGAGGTAGACCACCTACTCGATGGCTCAAAGACACTGAAAACGACCTCAAAGTCCTGAAACTTAAGAACTGGAGGGGAGTTGCCGTGGACAGAGGGAGCTGGAGAAGCGTGCTGTTGAGGCAGCCAAGGCCTGCAAAGGGCTGTTGCGCTCCTGAAGAAGAAGAAGATTTCCCTAGATTGCGGTTACTCTCTGTATTTTGAGAAAATCCAAATCTATCAACAAAAAATAGTTTGTTTATTCAGAGAAAATACGTTTTGTGTTTGATTTTGTGGCTTGAAATATCATTTGCTCTTAATTAATTAATGTATTTAAGGTCAGTTCCTTGAACCATTGAAATTGAGTCCTAGTATATGAAGATCCGATCATTAAATCAAAAGTTATTTAGTTTTTTTTTTTTTTTTTTTTGCAGCATGTATTCTAGTTTTAAACCCTTTTTCTTTTCACGCATAATGACTTGGAGCTCATTTAAGAGACTCTGAATAGAAGTATTGTGCTCTATACTTAATTATTTTCTAACTGTATTCTTTATTAAGCATTATTTATGTTTTAAATAAATTTAAAAGAATTATAGGTTAAAAAAAATTAACCCCTATTTGGTTTTTATCTGACCTTTATCAATACAGGAATTTGATTCTTTTTTAACTTAACAAATCTTATTATGTGCTTCACAATTTATTTTTTTTTAGAAATGTTTTTATTGTTTGTTGAAGGTTTTAGATATATGTATATTTAGTCTGATTATTTTCAACAGATAATTCAAGAAAGTGATTTACGGAGTAACAGAATTTTAGATAGATTAGTTCGCTTATATAAAAAACTGCAAAGGTATGTTTATCTGGAAAAACTTTTTTTATTACTTCTAGACATTATGTGTTGTAAATAATGATTTTAAAAGATTAATTGTGTTGTTTTACTTTTCTATTTATTGCAGATGTATTGTAACTTTTAATATAATTTTAATTAATAAATCAAATTAGTAATATAATTTAATATAATTCTAAAAAAATTATTTATTCAAAAAAATTCTGAAAATTTTAATATTTTCATTAATTTTTTACAATTTTATTAATTTTAACTTTATGGTATTGCTTTATTTTCTAGTGTTCACTGACTAAGTTGTGGTTGACTAGTGTAATTTTTTCAGCACATTTCTCTTTTTTTTATTAATACAATATCATTTTATTTTATTTGATGAATTTACTTGTTTTCTTCACTTTTTTGTGCTCAAAGCTGTGCAATTTTTTTAGCACTTGTCTGTTGATTCTTTTTTCATTTAATGTCCTAATTTTATTTAGGGATGGAAAATTCTTTCAAGCATTATCAAAATTCAATACATTTCCTTCTTTTTTTATTATTTTTCAATATCGGTATTGTACCTCTTAGAGCCAGATTGTGGTATTTTTGCCTTAATTGAATTTAAAAGTTTAGAGTTTATTTTATTTATTTTTTATTCATTTATTTTTTTCATCTTTTTGATTTTATTATTTGTCATGCTTGATATTAAGAACTAATTCTATGGAAATTCGTTAAAACTATGTACAGATACTTTCTTGTAAATTACTTACTTAATTCGGAATTTTATTACTTAGAAATATATTAATCTACATAAATTTTTTCATATGTTTCTGAACAATCTTATAACAATAATTTTTTTCTTTGATTTTTTATTTTTTATTTTCAGCAATTACAAGTTGTATAGCGGCATTTTTTGAAACCTTAAACACCTAAACACTTGTAAAAACTATCTTTAAACCTTAAATGCACATTGGTATTTTACTATAATCCTTTATCGCTATGATCTTTTATTATTATTGTTGATTTAACTTTGACTTGTAACAAAGAACACTTTTATTTATAAAAAGAATAATATAATTAATATGATTTTTTTTTCATTGTCTGCCATCATGCAAATATTTTTATTCTATTTTATGCAGATCTATGTACATATGTATATTTTTTTTACAAAATCTGAATCTCATGTTCCAGGGACAGCAATAATCGCAATACAGAGGCACAAAATCATAGCATTAGTTATTCACAAGCTCAAAGTAATTCTCATAATCCAATGGAGTCTGACATACAAATGACATCTGTACAAAGTTCTGTTCAATGCACTGATATTTTACCTAGCAATGCCCCTTGTCAAAATTCACCACTTATTCAATCTATCCATTCTCAACTTACAGATCTAGATTATCCAGTTGTAAGTATAAATTTCTTTCTTTCAAATTATTGAATTTTAAATTGAAAAAAAAAAGTTATTAGTTAAATTTAAATCTGATATAATTATCTGAATTTTTTTTTTCTAATTAAGTATACTTTAGCATACCACTTAAAATATTTTCATTTTAAATTCCTTTTTGCTTAAAAGATATGTTAAATACATTTGCATTAAGGTACATATATATATATAAATCATTCTTGAAAAATTTCCCGTTCATGTAAGTACATCTGATTTCACTACTTCCTTTATAGTGTATGTTTTATACTGTTTTTTCTCTTTCTATTATTTTATTTTCTGTTTTTGCATGTAATTTTTACCTATTCTGTTACCTATTCTGTTTATTTGTTGTAATTTTTGTAAAAAAAAAAATTTTAGTGCTCCTTACACTATTGTATTAATATATTTTGCTTTGGCTATATTGATAGAACATCAGAAAGCACTCTTTTTTGCGGATATAATCGTGTGAGCTGATAAAAAGATTTTTTTTTCCGGTTTTTTAAATAAAATTTCATCTTTTTTTTTCTTCTTTTTTTTAAATCAGTTGTTTGTTATTTTTTTAATTATTATTCCCCCCCNTGATTTTTTGAATATTTAAAATCTTATATTAAACTTTTTTATTTTAAATTTTGTGAAAACTTGGGTGAAATTAAATAATCAAATATTGAACGAATAAAACAGCTTAGACTGCTAAAAACATGTGTTTAAAGTCTTTGCAATTTTTTTTTTAAAGCTGCAAACTTTGTTACAGTTATCAGCTTTTATTGAAAAAAATTTCTAAACAGAAAGTACATAGAGATATAAGATATAGTTTTTTCATTTAGAAAATAAACATATTCACAAACACAAACATTACTTACCAAAGTGGTTAAAATTACTTAGTAACCCGTAGCTCTGATACAGCTAATTAAAATGCAGATCACGAGCAAAAGTTTCCATCCAAGAAAATTTTTCAACTTAAAATAATTCTTTTTTTTTTTTAGATTTAAAAAAAAAGTTCTTAATTTTGTTAACAGATGGCACATACTAAAAATTATAACTACAGTTACTGTGTAGCTTTTTTTAAATTTTATTTTATTTATTAATTAAAAAAAGTCATTAATATATAAACTGCATATTGTAGAAATCTATTTTGACAAATTGCGATCATGGAATCAACAATTACATGGTTCAAGTTTCGTAACCTTATTGATACCTAATCAGTTAGATACTATTGTGTATAAAATGTCTCTCATATCTGATATTTTCACTATGTATAACACATTTTGAAGTATAATTTATAAAAAAAGAAATCCATATTTTACTTTCTGATGAAGTTGTTAGATTTGAATCCTTAGAAGCTGAAAACTACCATAGCTCATTTTTAACATTTTATTTATTTATTTTTTTGTAGCAATGTTAATCCATAATTTAAAAAAAAAGTTCTTAATTTTTTTCACAGATGGTACGTACTATAAATTATAGCTACAGTTGCTGTGTAGTTTTTTTTTAAAATTTTATTTTATTTATTTAAAAAAAGACATTAATATATAAACTACATATTGTAGAAATTTGTTTTGACAAATTGCTATCTTGGTATTAACAATTACATGGTTTAAGTTTCGTAACCTTATTGATACATGATCAGTTAGATACTGTTCTTTATAAAAAGTCTCTCATATCTAATATTTTCACTTTGTATAACATATTTTGAAGTTTAATTTGTAAAAAAAGAAATCCTTATTGATGCATGATCAGTTAGATACTGTTCTTTAAAAAAAGTCTCTCATATCTAATATTTTCACTTTGTATAACATATTTTGAAGTTTAATTTGTAAAAAAAGAAATCCTTATTTTGCTTTCTGATGTAAAAAAGTGTGGGTTTTGAACCTATAGAAGCTAAAATCTACTGCAGCTCATTTTTAACATTTTATTTATTTATTTTTTTTAACAATGTTAATCCATAATTTTATTAATTACAATATTGTAAAAAACAATTATGTCCAATATGAATCAGAAAATCGATGTATACATGATTCGAATTTTAAAGTTTTTATGTCTGATTGATATTGGACTGTAGATGTAATAACTACAAAAGTTCGAAAAAAAATTTAAACGCTATGAGCAGACCAGAAATAGGGACAGTAAGAAAAAGATAATATCCTATCATTAGCTATAAATTTATCTAAGCGATGTTTAAATATTTTTGGGAGTACACCAAATAATTTATTCTGATTTCAGAAACTTGAAATTGTTGATTGTAATGAATCCAGTACAAATGATGTTGTTATGTCTACTAATTCTGCTGAGGATTCTATCGGTAAGTTTGTTGATATTTAGAGTGAGTTCTCTGACACAATGCTAATTGGGATGCACTCCAAATCGTAAAAGGAGTTACAATAATTGTTATTTTTAATTAGTTTAAAAAGTTCAATCAGTTTTATTCTTAAGAAATTAAAGTGGAGATATTCTGCTCTTATTTTTCGTTCATAAACGAATGATTTTAAGTTAAATAAAATGTTTTAAAAATGAAATTTTAAATCGTAATACAAAATATTTTCTAGCTCTGTGTATGCTTTTTTTTATTGTAACTTTTTCATTAAAAAAATTATTTTAAATTCAGCTTGGAAAATTGATAATCTGATTTGTGCATTTGAGGCAGAAAGGTTGAATCAGATCTAGTAAAAAATTTCCTGGAGTTTTTAAAAATCATAAATTGAATATTATTCTTTAAGATTCTGTCTTATTCTGTTGTAATTTGTTTTTATGACAGAATCTTTTAAAATATTGATTAAAAAATATTTTTAAATTAAAATACTAAACATCATGTGGGAATTGCAAAATTGCCACTTAAACCTTGCTTACATTTAAAAGTTGATTGAATGTGAAGCACACAGCAAAAGCTCTGTGTCATAGAACTCACTCATTGTATAAGTTCACTTATCAGATGTTTATATAGTTTAAAACTTCTAACTTGCAACACTGGTAATGTACTGTACAATTTTATTTCCATTTCTGTTGTTTATTGGGTAAAATATTGAAATAACCACAAAGAATAATCTACTTCAATACTTTGACGGCTGCAAAAAATTTTATTCTTATAATATATTTCTGCAAAAACAATTTGTTCGAACTATATATAGCTCTCGAAACAAATTTTTCTAATATATATAACTGTGGAACATTTTATTGTAATAGTGCTGCTGAACAGTTTATTCTAATAATATATTTCTAGTTTTGAAAGTCTATAAATTTTCTCATTTAAAATCATGTATAGGTTAATATAGTGTAAATAATAATAATAATTGCAAATTAGTGTTTGCTTTCAATTATTTTTCGTTAAACACAACTTACTGAAAAGGCTTAAGTATTTAAATGCTAGACTAAGGAGTCCCATTTTCAAACACGCTGCTATGCCCTTAGACCAAAATTTTATTTTGTGCCTATTTGCTTAGACATGTATATATACTATACTTATAAAAGAATAAATTCATAACTCTATTTAGAATGTATTCTTAAATTGGTTTGCTTTGTCAACCATTTATAGCTTCCTTCTCTCTTTATTTCAAGAATAAAGGGACCTTTTCATAGTAATAGTAGAACTAGTAAAGTAATTTTTTTCCATTTATTTTAAAAATTATAAAATCTGTGAATTATAAAAAAAATTTCTTGAAAAATACATTTGGATGGGTCATGACCCATTTATGTATACAGTGACCCTTCTTAACTTTCCAACTCTTTCAGTTATAAAGGTGGTGTCTAGGTATAATAAAGTGACGTGATACAAAATGAGGCTGCTTACATCACCATGTGGTGATAAAACTGAGAGGTAGCACCAAGAAAGTATGAAAAAAAAGGTGAATACGAATATGTAGAGCATCATTAATATTGTACAAATAGATACTTTGTAAACCAATGGGGGAAAAAAACATAAAACACATTTTTGTTTATTTTTAAAATAGAGTGTTCTCTTAAAGAAAAAAAAATTAAGCTACTACGTATCTCAAGATAGCGATTTTCAATATTTAAACTTCTATTGTACATCAAAAGTAAGGTTGTTAAAAGTGCGTAAAGTAGGTGCATCAAAAGTAACGTTGTCAAAAGTGCGTAAAGTGAGGTACATCAAAAGTAAGGTATATCTGGTTGTTTTGCTTTTCAAAGATTGCTGTCTCAATTATTACACAATGTTAAAAATTTCCGTATATTTATTGAAAAAATTTAGCTTCTTCAACGAGTAATTTCCTGTATTTGGTTAAACATTTACTGTTATTTAAATAACGGATGAAAATACATATTCTTGTTTTTTTAAATGGATTGAAAGACTGCTTCATCAGAATATGCACAAAAAACACTGTAACTTTACATCAGTTATGTTACACAGTAAATCACTTGCCTCATAAGAATTAACCAACAGACGTTTAAGGTGCCCTCTTTTATTATGCCTAGTGACTATATGTCACTAAGATACGCTTTTCACAAGCCTTTCAAGATCCATTTTCCTACTAGAGATGAATGGTTTATTTCTCCTCGGTGGCTTAAAGGCAAATGCCTAATATGGTACACTGATGGTTCAAAGGTTGGTGCCAAATCAGGAGCAGGAATTTATTGCTCCAATGACGGTACCAAACTTCACTTTCCCCTGAGAAACTATGCCACGGTTTTTCAGGCTAAGGTCTATGCCATTATCTTGTGCTGCAAGATATGCTTAGACAAGGGATATAAAAATACGATCCGCATCTGTTCTGACAGTCAGGCTGCTCTCCTATTACTGTCAAGGTGTAAATTCACCTCTTTGTTAGTGTGGGAATGCTTCTCGGTCCTCTGTGACCTGTCCACTCATAACAAGGTATCCCTGCATTGGGTACCAGGACATATGGGTATCGGTGGAAATGAGCTAGCTGACGAAGCAGCACGGGCTGGCTCTAATGCAATTTTCTGGGGCCCTGAACCTGCGCTGGGAATTTCTCCNAGGTCACTGTCGATATTAGAACATTCTACGACAAGCCGTTCCAGCGGCATGAGCGAAAATCGAAATGGAATTTTCTGATTGGTTAAAAGTTAGCCATTGTTTTAAATTTTGCCATAAACGATTCAGTTTTCAAATATTTTGAAGATAACAACAGTGATATTTTCTATCCTATAGCTCTATTCATTTAGAATTTTGTTCCCATTGATGATTGGAAGAATATTGATCCCAACTTCTAGACAAGATGCGATCAACTTTTAACAACTCATTATATGCAATTATATATTATTGATAAATTTTTAACAATTCATCATTTGTAAAAGAATATTCAAATCTTTCAGGGGCACCATATAAGGTGGGTCAAGGTTGCTCCCCCAGCAAGGATAGATAGTACTGATAGAACATCCATACCTTGCCTGGGATTCGAAGTCAGAACCTTTCTGATTCAAGGCCCTGGCCCCTACATAGGCCAGTCGGCCTGAAATTGGGTATAAAGTCATCAATTTGTTTAGCATTAGGAGATAACAACCTTAAAAATTTGGAGAAACTGTTGTTTCGTTATGTTTTTTTAATCAAAATGCCTAGTAATATAAATGTAATCTAAGAAAAGTACTTGTTGTTGTTTCTTATCCTCTAATTGTCTGACGAAGTCAGACAAGATCCAGTAGGTTGTTGACCCTCAAAAAGTTGATGACAAGAATGTAAAGTAATTTTTTTTTTTCATTTATTCAAAAAATAATAAAATATGTGAATTATAAAAAATTTTTCTTGAAAAATACATTTGGATGGGCCATCACCCATTTATGTATACAGTGGCCCTTCTTAACTTTCCAACTGTTTCAGTTATAAAGGTGGTGTCTAGGTATAATAAAGTGACGTTGTGATACAAAATGAGGCTGCTTACATCACCATGTGGTGACAAAACTAAGAGGTAGCACCAAGAAGGTATGGAAAAAAAAGGTGAATACGAATATGTAGAGCATCATCAATTTTGTACAAATGGATACTTTGTAAACCAATGGGGAAAGAAACATGAAACACATTTTTGTTTATTTTTAAAATAGAATGTTGTCTTATAGAAAAAAAATTAAGCTACTACGTATTTCAAGATAGCGATTTTCAATGTTTAAATTTCTATTGTACATCAAAAGTAAGGTTGTTAAAAGTGCGTAAAGTGAGGTACATCAAAAGAAACATTGTCAAAAGTGCGTAAAGTAGGTACATCAAAAGTAATGTTGTCAAAAGTGCGTAAAGTGAGGTACATCAAAAGTAAGGTATATCTGGTTGTTCTTCTTTTCAAAGATTGTTGTCTCGATTATTACACAATGTTAAAAATTTCCGCATATTTATTGAAAAATTTTCGCTTCTTCAACGAGTAATTTCCTGTATTTGATTAAACATTTACTGTTATTGGAATAACGGATGAAAATTCATATTCTTGATTTTTAAAATGGATTGAAAAACTGCTTCATCAGAATATGTACAAAAAACACTTTAACTTTACATCAGTTATGTTACACAGTAAATCACGTGCCTCATAAGAATTAACCAACAGACGTTTAAGGTGCCCTCTTTTATTATGCCTAGTGAATATATGTCACTAAGATACGCTTTTCACAAGCCTTTCAAGATCAATTTTCCTACTAGAGATGAATGGTTTAATTCTCCTCAGTGGCTTAAAGGCAAATGCCTAATATGGTACACTGATGGTTCAAAGATTGGTGCCAAATCAGGAGCAGAAATTTATTGCTCCAATGATGGTACTAAACTTCACTTCCCCCTAGGAAACTATGCCACGGTTTTTCAGGCTGAGGTCTATGCCATTATCTTGTGCTGCAAGATATGCTTAGACAAGGGATATCAAAATACGACTATCCGCATCTGTTCTGACAGTCAGGCTGCTCTCCTATCACTGCCAAGGTGAAAATTCACCTCTTTGTTAGTGTGGGAATGCTTCTCGGTCCTCTGCGACCTGTCCGCTCATAACAAGGTATCTTGACATATGGGTATTGGTGGAAATGAGCTAACTGATGAAGCAGCACGGGCTGGCTCTAATGCAATTTTCTGGGGCCCTGAACCTGCTCTGGGAATTTCTCCCACCTCATTTAGGGCATCCATTTTCAAGCTCTACGGCAAGATTGCTCATGAGCAATGGCGTGCTCCTGACGGTCAGAGACAAGCTAAGGAGGTGAATCGCGAATTTCCTTGTGTACGTCAAAAGGAGCTCTTAAAGCTTAACCGAAACAGTTTAAGGAAGATCATAGGTCTTCTTACTAGTCACTGCATCCTCAGGAGACACCTACACATAATGGGAATAGAATCCAATTCTCTTTGTCGGGGTTGTCATGTTGAAGAAGAGACATCACGACACGTACTCTGTGATTGTGGTGTCTATTTTGCTCAAAGATTTGAGCATTTAGGACAGCATTGCGTCAATACCTGGGAACTGCAAGACGTTCCTGTAAGGTGCTTGCTGAACATCATTTCAGCTGTAGGGCTTTCTTGCTAATCACGATTTAGGATTTGGGTACAATAGACCTCTGGTCGATGTGCCCTGCTCGTCAGAGCTGCCCAACCTCTAAGTCTAAGGTGCCAAGATAATGGAATTACTGTGTCTTGTAATGAACTTCGATGGGCAGTCTTTGTTCTGAAGAGAATGCAATAATGAACATGTCAAAACATATCTACTAAAAGGTAAGATTTCAGTTCCCTTCAATTCAATGCGAATTATTTTTCAAATTTGCTAGGGAATTTTATTAGCCTAATAAAATAGCATTATTTTTAACATTGAAATAGATTTTTTCCATAAAATAAAGCAGAACAAATGATTATTTGAACTCTCCAAATGTAGTTATGCTTATACTACTAATGGTATTTATAAAAACTGGTAGCATTAAATTTTAAAATAAAGCTTTCTTTTAAAATTTAAAAATTATTAATTCAGGCTTATTAATTCATAATTTTTAACAAATCCTTATTTATAATGAACCTGTCGAAATACATCTACTAAAAGATAAGATTTGAATTCTCTTAAATTTAATATCAATTATGTTTCAAATTTGCCAATGTAATAATACTGCCCTACTAAAATTGCAAGTTTTTTTTCCTATAAAATAAAGTATCACAAATCACTATTTGAACTCAAAATGTAGTGATGCTAATTCTCTGTAACTAATAGTATTTATGATTAAAAAATTATTAGCAATTCAATTTTAAAGTAAAGCTTTATCTTAAAATTAAAAAGCTTATTAATTCATAGTGTAATTTTAATAAATCCTTATTTAATGCAATTTCTGTGCTTTTAAATACCTATAGACTTTTATTAAAAATTTTAAATCATTGCTGAAAAGAAAAAGATAAATATGTATCGTAATCAAGTTTCCCAATATTTTTGACTGCTTATAATGTTTTGAAATGTAACCTAATTTATTCAAAGTAGCGTAAATTGATTTCTGTTCTGGGAGACCTCTGATAATTAATTAATGGTGGTCTGAGTAGAATTTTAGTGGTCTTACGCCAACTGACCACCATTAATGTAAGGGCCTGGCAGTACACATCATTGTGCCTCATGATTCTCGGTGACTGTTCGGTGTGTCGTTAACCTAATAATATTTCTCATTATGAACTCTGCTTGTTTTCTAGCTTTTCATATTGATTCTTAGTTATAATTATTAATTTATTTGAGTGAGACTGATTTCCAATATTAAAATAATTTGTAGTTTTATAATTATGTTATATGCCTGATTGTATTTAGCGTGTATCATATTTTTTATTTATTTACATATTTTTAGGGAGTGACAAGTCAGACTTCACAGAAATAAAACGTCCAAGAGAAAATTATAAACAAAATAGCAAAAATGAAATGAATAATCATCTAGAAAAAACAACCAACAATCAAATTCCCAGAGCGAATTCAAGGATAAGTTCTGCTGCAGTGAGCTGGCAAAAAATGGCTATGCCAGCTGTAAGCTGGCAAAGAATGCCACCTCATTTGTTACAAACTCTAAATGAGAATAAAGAACCTTTGCCACATCATTATAGAGAAATGATTAGAATAATCGCAGATGATATTTTAAGCTTCACAACTAACCCGAAGAAAGCGTTAGTAAAAAGTGTAGCTAAAATGTGTGTTGAAAAATTTCCTATCTTAAGGGATAATTTCCAAAATTTTACAATTGGGTCAGGATATGATCATCTCACAAATCGCGTGATCTCACGAATTGAAAACCTGAGAAGAAAATTTTCAATATCAAAAACGCTTGTTGATGATCCAAAACTACACAGTAACAAGAAAAGAAAACAATGTTATGACAGTTATGGGTGTGTTGCGTGGTCTCCAAGCATTCCGCTAGATGAGACTATTGAAAGTTTAGAATCTAAAAAAAGACTTTTAAAAAATTGCCACCCAAATAGTGAAATGTCCATAACTTTGATGAATCAAACTTATTACTTACAAAGAAAAGAGATAAACGAGGGAGCGAAAATAAGTGACTTATTAATTGAATGGCCACTTCTTTTTCATTCAACTTTTATGCTGCAGCATTTTGAAACTTTAACTGACAAAAACATTATTGAAAAACTAGGAAGTACAATTGATTCCAAAGGAAAAGATTTTATAACTTTTTTTCTGGCATGTGAAGAAAAAGAAGTAAAATCTCTGATTATTCAAAACAATGGAAAAAATATTGTGCTGTTAATTCTTTTTGGAATCGCCAAATATTTTAATGAAGACATTTCTATATTAGTCAAAATGTCAGAGGTAAGTTAAAACACTGTAATATCAAGTACTTGTTATTTATTTATTTTTCATATGAAACATTAATATATATATATATATATAAGGATAGCTCAATTAACAATAGATCTGCACACAGCGAGAGATTAAGACTCAGTCTAACGTTGAATCAGGAACTTTAGTATTTAACTCATTTTCATATATATATAAAGATATCTCAATTAACTAGGAGATTAAGACTCAGCATAAGGTTGAATCATGGACTATAGTATTTAACTAATTTATTATTAACTTGCTTGGCCACGGTCCAATTTTTATAGTAATTAATTTTCTATTCTAAAATCAGTAATTTTTTTTGTTTCATTCTTTGTATTATATGAATACTGTAATTATTAATATAATGATATGATGATAATTATTAATGTGATGTATAGAACATAAATGTGTTTTTCTTTTAATTCAAATAATTTTTTATGAAACTTATTGATGTTTTTCATTTTAAAAGCATTTTGCTTGTGAATTATTATTTTTTCTGTATTAGTTAATGTAAATTTTGCATTGAATCTTCTTATCAGGGATAATTGTATTCCCATGTTCCTCAGATTTCCGGTTTTTTTGTATCATCCTTCACAGAGTTCTGCCTTTTCATAGAGTTCTGCAATCTAAAATGTTTTCATACATGTGATTCGTATTCAAATTTAATTTTCTTTCTTTCTTTTTTATTAGTTTGTCAGATTTTTGCTATTTTTAATATTTGATTCTGCGCCCGAATCTGCTAATATTGCGTATCAACGAGATTTTAGTATCAATTTTCGTATTTACCTGATTTAAAAGTTACACATTGTAAATCATATTCACTCGATTTAAAAATGGTGTATCGCAATTCCTATTCACTCGATTTAAAAATGGTGCATCGAAATTCCTATTCACGTGATTTAAAAATCCAATATTGCAATTTGTATTTACAAGTTTTTATAATCCAATATCGCGATTCATACTCATGCAAGTTTAAAATCCAATGTTGTTCGAATTCATGCGTTCCTAATATCAAACATCAATTTTCGTATTTACACATGATATAAAAGGCGAACATTGCAATTTGTATTCATGTGATCTAAAAATCATACATCACAATTCATATTTGTGCAATTTAAAAATCCAATATCGTGATTTGCATCTTCGCGTTCTTAACATCCAATCATGATTTATATTCATGCGATTTTGAAATCCAAACTCTTGTAGAAACAAATTTCGTTATTAAATTAGTTACTATAAAGTTGTTATTTTGTAGGTAATTTAATTATACATCTTTGTTCAAAAAATTTTATTAAACATCTATAATACATAAATTAGTATCCTGACGTCGAGCTTATGCACATAAAATTTACAGGGTTTTTCACTTTGTGTCACAATCACCTCAGTCTTATTTTAAATATCCTATAAGAAATTTTAATATTGAATGGATGTTTTCAAAAATCTTGTTATTCTAAATATCCTCCAATAACAAATGTTAATAAACAGAGTTTTGCAATACATGTGAATCTTTATATTTTAAATATCCTCTAATAATAAGTGTTGATGATGTACAAAGCTTTTCAAGATATAAGAGTTTGATTTTAGACAATAGGCAATCTTTCTCTTTTAAGACTATCAACAAAAAATTTATAATACAATGCAATAAATATGTTCTTGATGTTCTTTAATACCTTTATGAGGTATTTATTTATATTTTACTTTATTCGTAAATTATGTATTTATTTCAATTATTTTTTTATTAAATTTATAAGTACAAGTTGTGATTTATAATTTTTTTTTTATTTTTAAATTGCATTAAACATATTTCCAAATATTTGTAAGGGCATTGTTTTTCATTTTAAGGTTAATCTATGAATTTTGGAGGCTTTTTTATTAGTATTTTGAAGAACTTTAAGATTGTAGCTCCTGATGATAAATATTAAAAATATTGGTTTAGATAGATTGGTTGGAATAGAAAAATAACCATAGGAAATATTTCTTGCAGGTGTTAAACCAACATGATGTAGTCGAAATTGATATTCCTGGTCATCCATGCCTTGTTGGGATAGGTAAGTGCCATGCAAACTGTTTTCTTCATAAGACTTATCAAAATATTTTATCATTATAATTTTTATATTGTATTTGTATAAAAGTATTAATAATTTCTTAGGGCAAAATGCTCTGGATACTGAAGGGTTTATGCTTGGTATAGATGGATGTGTCGTAAATAGCGAGTTAAATAGGCCTGAAACTGCATTCTCAGTTCTCTTTGCTGCTTACTACGTATTTAATTTAGAATATCCTAAGAATATTGCTGTAACACTTGAATTTTTCCAAAGGTAATTTTTAGTTTTAAAATAATTTCAAATATTAATGCTGTCATTTTAACCATTTAAATTAAACATTCTCGCCCATTTTAAGAAAAGTTTTTATTTATTTTGATTTGAATAGAAAATAAATCTAATTTCTATCGCTTTACAATTATGTATTTATGTATAAATACTGTAGAAAAAGTGTTGACATGGATTAACAGATGTTGTAGAAATTATTTTATATCCTATTTAGACAGGATGTAATGAGGTTTTTGTATACAAAGACACTTAAAATAAGTTTTTAATTATTTAATCTCTTATTGATTCCATCAGCAAAATAACAATAATTAATATGAATCATTTTTTAATTTGAAAACTACTGATTTGAAAATAAATCATCCTCATCATCATAGTTGGCCAGACAGCCAATGTGGGTCAATGCCTTCCTCTGAAGATTTCTCCATAATGAATTCCGATTTATCTTTGATCTCAAAATCTTTTCATTAATTGCAAGAAAATCAGACTCCACTGAGTCAGCCCATCTCAACCGGTGCCTCTCCCGATTTCTTGTTCCAGTGGGCTTGAAAAGCAACATCTTTTTTATTGTATTGTCATCCCTCATTCGAATCACGTGGGCCATCCAATTCATTCTATTTATTTTTATGTAATTAATAATATCAGGTTGTTTATAAATCTTGCAAAATCTTGCGAATCTTGTTAAATCTTCTTCTCTAGTTATTGTTTTCATTTACGCCACCAAATATACTCTGCAAAATCTTTCTCTCAAATATTGTAATACAATTTTCCTCCAGTTTTGTCATTGTCCAAGCTTCTGCAGCATATGTCAAGACTGTCATGACAGTTTTGTAGATTAAGAATTTTGTTTTTCTTGTAAGAGACCTAGATTTGATAAATCTTCTCAGCCCATAGACAGCCCTATTTGCCAGATAGAGTCGGTTGGAAAATAAATAATTTTAATATATATTTTGCTAAATTAGAAGTTATGATATAAAAGTGGAAAAATGCTGCAAATTAAAAAAAGTACAAAAACTGCCGTTGAATGTTGATTCACAATTAAAAGTTTTCTAAATAAACTCACATTATTACTCTTTTTATCAACTCGCTTTTGCATCTGAGAAGGTTTTATCTTGCAATTGAAATTTTGACTACTTACAGATTACCTAGGTAACTCAAATTTTTATTAAAATTAACAACAATGCAAGTTTCAACCCATTTCTGATTGCTACAAATAAAACCATTTGCTACTTATTGCCAAAGGGATTTTATCAACCAAAATTTTTATCTCATTTTGGCGAACTAGTAAGCTAAAATTTCAATTGGGGCTCAGTGCTGAAATACAATATGAATTTCAATTATTTCCTGACCTTTATAAGCGGAATTTATTGTTAAAAATTTTTTTCATCTATTGAAATTTGGCTCCATTTCAATCAACTAGAGTGCATCAATTTTATCTGGAGCAGTGTGTCTACAAGTTGCAATTATTGCCATTCAGCACAGATCTCAACAATTGCAAGCTTAGGCGTAGTGTGAGTTTTAGTTTTGAGGGAATCCATATTTTTCATAGAAGATAATTTATTTATGTTAGACGATATACCATTCATTTTATACTGCAGTTTAATAAAACATGGTGGCTCAGGGAATACAGCATTTGCCTACCAATGAGGTGGCCAGGTTCAAATCCTAGCAGTGGCTGGTTGATACGAACTCTTCTCTTGTAAGTAAGATAATAACTTACTCAGTGTTCACCCACATATAATTTTATAAGCATATAGGATTAAAACATAAAGGTGAAATATTTTTCGTTTTTGCCTTTTCTGTATTGATATCAGAAATGAGTAAAATTGTCTTACATTTTACCCTTTTTTTGTATAATATTTGCTTATCTAAATCGGTGAAAAATGTACCTAAAAAAATGCCTTAATAACAAGAGGCTAGTAATTTATAACTTTTTATTTGCATAATTCTTTTTTTATAGTAATAGCATTTGCCCAATTACTTAAAAATTTGTCATAATGGTAGACTTCTCGTAATATGCTGTTACGGGCTCCATCAAGCTTTTACCATATATATATGTGTGATATTATTGAGGAATTTTGACCACTACTGTTTCCATGTATTTAATTCCGTCCCCTACAAAAATTAGGTTTTTGCAACGCCTATGTAACTAACATACCATATAACTTTCTTATTGACTATTCTCACATTAAAGCTGGAAAATGCCAAGTGTTAGCATAGATGAAAAATTAAGCTAAGCACCATCTGTAGATCATTTTGATTGCAAGTATTGGTCTGTTAGATTAAAAACTATGTCTTAAAATAATAATAAAATTCTATAAGAGTTTTCTTTTAACAATATGTTTTAATTTATCATGATTTATTTTTAATGTTTTGAGAATTTGGACAATTTAATGAATATTTTTATGAATTACTTGTAATTTTTTGTATTAATTTGTAATTTTTTGTAATGATGACTTCTAATTTTCAGGTGTATTTTGGAAATGAACCCACTTCAGGGATCCAAAACTCAAAGTAGAAAGACAAAACAATATCAGGGCGTTCACCCTAAAATTTTGAAATTTTTGAAGAATTTTAACAGGTGCACAAATGGGCTCTTTTTGTAAAATATCCAGAAAGAAAGAAGTTTCAAAGGAGTAAAATTTATGATATTATGTATTCAAAAGATCTTAATACTAAAAGTCTAATATATATAATTGGCAGTTTAAATAATTATATTTTATGTTTAAGTGACTATATTCTTTTCACTTTAAATATTGCTGCAACAAAATTTATATTTTTGCAGCAAAGTACAAAAAATTTAAAATTATTAATCAAATTCCTCATCTAGTTATGCTTCTCTGTGCTCTTCTGTGGAGTATAAAACGAAAAATAGAATTTTATCAAACAGTTATAAAAATATACGAAGAAAAGTTCCTATGGAAGGAGAATGTATAAGCAATCAATGTTAGTATTGTACAGCTGCCAACTCTTCTGCAATTTGCAGAAACTTTCTGCATTTATGCCCCAACTTGAGACTAAAATCTTCTGCATTTTGAAAATGTACATTAAAATTGTGTAGCTTCTTAGAACTACTTCTAATTGTGTAGCAATGTAGATCAAGGAATTAGAGCTCATGCTCAGACACATATGTATCTGAGCATGGCTTCTATTCCCTTAATCAAACTATGATATCTTGAATTTACACGGTATTTCAGCCTGAAAGATGTTTCAGGTCATTTATTTATGAGATTAGGCTATGATTAATATGTTGATATAAAATAGTACAAAAAAGGGATGATATTTTTCTTTAGTGTCAGATTTGAGGTGATTGTCAAAACACCCTTCTACTCGTGGAGCACCATATTCCAGTATGGTGCTCCATGAGTACCATACTGGAATTGTACCTTTTAACTCTTTGAATAAGGGATAAAAATGTGTTAAATCTTCTGCATTTTAAGTAATTTCTTGTGCAATATTGTTTCGAATATTATGCATTTTAAAGAAGGGGGTTGGCAGGTATGGTGTTGGATCATTTTCATAATTTGGTGTCATTTAGAAATTAAAGAACAAACAAATTTTTTATATGAGAATGACTAATGAGCGATCCCACCATTTACGAATTTCATATTATCAGACTCTAAAAGCATATAACTCAGTTTTTTAAAAAAAAGCAGTTTTATGATAATTTTTGTTAAAATAAATCTTGGTGTCATTTATCTTTGCTTCAAATTTTATTAACTTTCGTAATTTTCAAAAACTTTTAAAGAACTGTTGTGTTACAGATGTAAAACTTTCTATGACTTTTATAACAGTCAATTTTTATGCAGGGTGCTTAGAGTTTTTAAGAAGTGCTTTAAGGTACTTATTTTTGATTTATGTTTTTAAAGGTGCTTTTTTTATTCGGGGTTTGTAAAAAGTGCTTAATTTTCTATCTTTTAAGAAGAGATTTTTATTCTTTGCTGTGTCGATTGTCATTCTAAATTACAAAAAATTCATGATTTTCCCAATTTTCTCAGCAATATTTATCAGAAACTAGTTATTCTATCATTATTATGTAAAGTTTTTGAAAATGTTTTTGAATTTTATTCATGTTATGCTTATAAATTTAGAACTTTAAAGGTGAAAGGATAGATTACCGCACCGATTATTTTTTGTTGAAAAATCTGACTACGTTCTTTGTTATATATATATTTTTTTAAATTTAAGTGTGTAAAAGTTATTAAAAATTAGATTATGTGTTAATGGCACTTACAGTTATTTTAACAAGAATTATTAAACCTGACTCATATATTTTTTTCTGATTTATATGCTTTTAAAGTCTGCATGTAACATTTGTAAATAGTGGAATTGCTCTTGTGTATTTTATGCTTAAAGTTATGTCCAATTTGGGCTATTTATAAGTGTAAATGGTAACCTTTTTCATTAGCATTTGTTAGCTAGATTGCTAACATTCATAGCTGGTCTTCTGTAGATCTGGTTTGGACTATATTCTCTTGTGATCTCATTTCATCAGACCATTTATAATTTTTATGGTTAAAGAAAAGCATTAGTCTGTGTTGCTTAGAGCTTGAAAATAGTGTGTGTAAATCTTTTGTAAATAATGTATCTTATGTGTAGTAAAATGTTGTCCGTGGAAAATAAGTGTATTAATTTGTGTTATCAATCTACACATTTATGATTATTTCTTACTTTTATAATTTTCAACATAACTTTCAACATTCCATGCTTTTTTACAATTTATAAAGTTTGTTTACATTTCCTTTTATTGTAATATTTTAATTTAAAAAATTCTGGAAAAGTATGCCTGCATGCAAATAATTTCATGATTTTATCATACTAATACCATATAAATTATTTTTCAATGTTATTTACAATTCATCAGTACATTTATTTTAATTAAAAAATTATGAAAAATTTCAAATTATATTTGTTTGAATTTAGACTTGTAAAATTGGTGTTTGCATTAATCAGTTTGATACTAAAAAAATTTCTCATGTTTACACTAGTAGTTTCTAACTATTTTAAAACCTCAGAACAATTTTACAAGATATATTATAAAACATATTATCTACTGGAGTCCATTTTACTTCCTTTATCTCCCATGTTAACCACTGAAAATGAATGCAAATTTCCTGTTTATTAAGTTTCTGATTAATATTTTGGAATACGTTTTGTTCCATTTTCTGCATTAAACTTTATTACAATCGACGCTTAATGTAGCGAAAACATACGTTCTAATGTGAGGTCATATTATAGTGTATCGGAATCTATATAATAATAGTGATCCACATATTATATAATGAATGCGGAATACTGCAAATATTAACTCATCATTAAAAAGGAAACTTGAAAAATTTTACTAAACCTATGCCTTACTTTAGTAGGGTAATTTTTTAACTAGAAGAAAAATTGAACTCGACTTTTTTCTATCTATACATAAAAGTATCTTTTAAAATAATATGGTGTGTAGTATTTTTGAAAAGTGCTTAAAGGTGCTTATTTTCGTTTTTTAAAAGCCCTTAAAGGTGCTTTTTTCATTTGGTGTTCTTAAAAAGTGCTTAATTTTCCCTATTCGAAAATAAGATTTTTTTCTTTTGTCGTTTTTGCCCCGCATTATACAAAAGCTTGCTTTCCACATTGTTCTATTCAACGTTATCACAATTCATTCAACCACAATCTAACCTATACTATCTTTTAACTAATTCGGTGTACCGTCGGTCCATAGCGTTAAAGCGCCAATAATTTTACATGTTTGATGAACTACTTGTGAGTTCGCGTGTGCGTCTACTGAGCTGGGTTCGGTGAGATTATTGCATTCTTGTGTGCAACTTTGCTGCATTTTACAAGATATTCTCAATTTCAGGCTTCATTTTCCACCCTCTGATATCGAACAAAAAAAATCTCTTGATCATTTTATAATGGCTAATATAATCAAGAAAAAGAGTTCTTTGTCAGAAACTAGTTATTTTATTATGATCATGTAAAGTCTTTGAAAATTATTTTGTATTTTGTTTATGTATATAGTGCTTAAAAATATTTTTTGAGTGCCTAAAAAGTACTTAAAAAAATTCTTATTTTTTGTTGAAAGATTTTACTGTGCACCCTGAATAATGCTGCATAGTTGAAAAATACATTAAAAATAATATGCTGGTTCGATGATGTCATTTTCAATAAATCACATACTTCAAAATAATTGCAAATACCACTTGTTTTAACTCAAAAATAAGTCACACAAGATTGACATTTTACAAATGGAGTAAATCCAGAGAAATATTAGTGATAAATTTATTTTTATCTTTTGAAAAGAAAGTTATGCAGAGTATAAACTACCATAAATGATGACATCTTTGAATTTAGGGTGACCTGTCACTCCTCCTTATTCCAAATCAGAGATGATTGTACTCCGGAAAAAACCGGATTTCCAGATTTTTTGCTAACTGTAATCCGAAAATCCAAGGTCCAGAAGTTTCAAGAACTCATCGATCACATTTTTGTATTAAAATTCGTGTACATTTTATTTAAAAATATTAGGACAAGAATTTATACTTGGCATCTCTCTCATTTATAAATATTTTTTCTGGTAGAATAATAAACTTATGCATAATTATTCATTTAAATTATGCTGCATATATTTATTTAGAATTTCATGTTTTGAAAATGTCAATGATTTAAATTGATAATGACATTAATTTTTTGAAGTGCGTCATTAATTATTTTACTCAAGAAAATTTCAGGACATTTTAGTTGGACTCACAATCACCCCTGTTCAAAGAGAATACAAGGTGTTTCACATTTATTGTGTGGTAACATCAAAGAAGTAATGGTTTAAATAAATTTGAAACTTTTTATAGTATTAAAAAACTAAAATTTGGTCGCTATATTGGAATGAACACTTCAATGTGGACATTAAAATAATATTACATGTATGGAATAGCAGATGAGACATTAGGTATCAGTCGTTATAATGGAAAGGTCGCTGCAATAGGGGTGGCACTAAAGTGCGTCGATTGTATTATTATTTTATGGAATTTTGTAATCGAATTTTTAAGCTTTTTAGTAATTTTAATACAGTCGAACATCGCTAACTCGAACCTCGATTTCGCGAATTGTTTGATATCTCGAAGAAAAAAAAATTTCCCTTCAAATTTCCTATACACTCAATGTTAAAAAAAACTTTATTTCACGAATTTTTCTTTTTTTAATCCCTCGATAACTTGAATTTTTTTTCTCCATAAATAGAGTAAATTTTTTTTCTAAAGTTATAAAAATATTCCAAAAAAAAATAAAAAGTTTAGAAATGGCTGACAAGGCATGGAATGATGTGTCTTCCTCTATGATAATGAATGGCTTCAAAAAGTCTGGATTCATTAAAGATCACGAAAGTAGTCAAACAATCAATATCGTTAATTCTGCTGAAAAGTACACCGAAAATGATTGGAACAGATTGACCGGATTCGCGAAGCTTGATGACATGGAATTTCATGACTTCGTAAACGTAGATAATGCAGTAACAGTGTGTGGTCAGTGGGATGACAATGATATCATTGCTCAAACGAAAGCTTCTTGTGAACTATCAGAAAAAGAGGATGAGGAAATCGAAGATTTACCACCCAATGTTACTAACAAACAA